CTTTCATAAACAATTTTAATATATCTGCTATTTACTTGAAAGAGTTTGTCTGTCTGTTCAAGGACTCCTCCTAAATGGTAAGAGCTAGAACCACCAAATTGGTATACAGCTTCCTCTTATCATAACATAAAGCAAGGTAATCGTCTGGTTGTGCTATTAAAATGGGATGTGCCCGGAATGGGATGGCTTCTCATAAAACCAAACAAAAAGGAGACAGAATCACCAGGCAGGTGAAAGAGGCTGACTGGGGATGTACCCTTCCCCACAGCCCTGGACCTCCCATCCCTCAGGGAGGAAGGGAGGTCTGAAACTCCTCACTGCTGATTCCTGTGGGAACATGGCTGGCTGCTCCCTTTTGTCAGGGAGTGAGGGAGAAGTGCACAGTTTTCTGGATTCCTCCCTCTGGCTGGGGAGCGCCTGGACCTTGACCAGCCGGGGGACATGCACCCCTCCCTTGGCTGTGCCTGCTAGAGCTGTAGTGGTCATAGGGAGGCGCTTCTCACTTGGCCCCAAGCTGCTGTGGTGAGAGTGGGTTGAGGTGGCCCTCTCTCCCCAGGGCAGCCTGCATTCTGAACTCCTCAGCCTCAGCCTCACCCCCACATCAGTGATTTAAATGAAGCATGTACATTTTCATTTTATTTTCCAAAAAAACAAAAATTAGTTAAGGACCAAAGCAAGTTCCAAAAAACAAAAAATTAGTTAAGGACCAAAGCAAGCCTGGGTAAATCTTCTAGTTTACAATATTTAGCAAACCTCTATTTTTATATACAGACAAATCATGATCATTTTATTATTTCTTTAATTGTGAATTGTAGACTTGAGTGAATTCAAACTAAATCTTTGTTACAGTAGTGGCTTTTCAAAGGGCCACTTAGACACCTAACTCACTTCAGTTCCCTCCCGTTGTATCTGTAAATCTTTGTACAGTCCCCACGTATTCATAAGCAAGGAATGCTGAAGTACAGTTTGAGGTGTCAGAATAAAAGCTGTACAAGACCGTGTCTACACTAGGGATATTCAAAAGTGTTTAATATGGTAACTGTGTAGCCGCTAAAAATCTTAGCGGCTACATTGTGACACATGCTGCGAACACTGTGGTATAAAGCTTAGCTTTATAGTGCAGAGCCCACAGCGAAGCTTCCCTGAGAGCAGGGTCACCAGCCCCTTCAGGCCTGGCTCCTGGGAGAACAAAACGGGCAGCTTTGTCAGCCCAGCTCCTATGGTAGTGAAGCCATCTCCCTGGAAGTTGAGCCAGAAGCCCTTGCCCACCTGGTTCCCAGAGAGAAGGCTGAGTCTAAATTTAACTCATACCATTAACAGATAAGCATCCGCTTATTGGTTAAACCGTTAGTTGGTTAAACTCTTAACATCCTTAGTCTACACTAGAGATATGTTTTAAACATCTACTACTGATACTGGCAGTAAGAGCTCTGTGACTTCTGATTGCTAATGTAAATAATGCTGAAAACCTTCTCTGCAGCCAGCAGGCTGCCTACACTGGAGCTTCTAAGCTTCTTGAGATCAATTCATTTGGATGAGTGGTGTGCACAAGGCCAAGAAACTACCTTTATTAGGCAAACTCTTCACTTGAGAGACTGTAGCTCAGTATTCCCAAATGTTATGAGTACTGGTCTCATCCACTGATATTAGACCACCTCTGACAAGTAGCAGTGTTTTTTTTTATTTCAGTGATTAATAGATGACTTGTCACAATTATTGGACTTATCTTTAGTAATTGGTACTTAAGAATTGCTTCTTTTTTCTCCCATCTTCTTCTCTGGAAAGTTAAAATAAGAATATGGAACTATTGATAAATTTCAACCAGAGAACAAAGATTAATAAATACGGGGAGCAATCTGGACTCTGTGGTAGTCATTTCAAGTTTTGCCTCTGAGTATCATGGGGCCAGGATTTCACACATCCAGTATTTAACATATTGACAAATGGGTAAACAAAAACAGTGTGTTACATAGTAAGAATTTAGGAGTGTAGATATCTTTTATTCAAAGAACTCCAGTTATTGGCAATTAATGTAGTGTGGTGATAATTTTGGGAAAAAATAGGGAACTATCTGTGTAATATTGTATGTAATGTAATTAAATATAAATGTGATAGTAGGGCACTTAACTCACTTTCTATAATCAATCTCCTGTAGACATTTGTGATCTGACATGTTTCCTTTAGGTAAAGGGCCTCTAAATCGAACTCAGAGGGTGTTCCCATTGGCAGCCGGTATTCCTCCTCCTGCGAGGTGTAAGGGACGCTGACAGGAGCATTTGCTTCCTTTGGCTTCCCACTGTTGGGACAGCGGGGAAACTTGAATTAAGATATATCAACTCCAGCTGTGTAATTAACTTTCCTTTAGTGTAGACCTAGCCTTAGACTCTGATTTTTCTCATGTTGTTATCTTTCTTCGGGTGATGTCCAGTTCTCTAGTTTTTGTGTCATTCTTTGTTGCTTATCTAGAGTGCATGGCACCATCAAATCCATGTCCTCTACTCGAGATATTTGTAAAAACATGAAAAGCCTATTGAAACTACCAGTTAATTGCTGTTCGTACTTCAACCTGACATTATACAGCAGTCAGTGCTTAGTACCCTGAAATGTGGAACATTTTCTTTGAGGTGTAGAGATCCCCTCAATAATCATAGAACTTATGAAGGACTTGATTCACTTGTTCCCAATAATATGATGTGCTCAGTACCTTGAACGAAAGGACCCATTAGAAGAAATGAAGATCTACTTCTACTGAGATAAATTACATGTTGGTAGGCCCCCGTGCTGGTTTATGAAGCATTAATTCAATTTCTAGGCAATTTATCTTGGTGAGCGAGTTGGGTTATTGCTGAAAAACAGCATGCTGTTCTTGTTCTTGCTGGTATAGATTAAATCTCAATTTTATGACTAAAAGTAGTGAAAATTAAAAAGAGAGATAAAAGGGAGGAGGGATGGAGTGGCACTTGTTGGGTAACCAAAGTCTTAATATGTTTAGGACAACAGGGCAATTCAACTGTGCAATAAAACAGCTGTTCAGTTATTCACTTCATTTTGTGAGTCATAAACGGAACAAACCACTTGGAAGTACATTTAGTTGCTATGAAACTGGTATTTCCTTGCACATGTGCAATAATGTTTAGAATTTATTAAAGATAATCAGGTAGGTATGATAACTTCCTGTAGTTTTTAAGCTTTTAAAAAATAAACACAAAACAGAATTTCAGGGAGGAGTTTGCTCTTACTTGGAGAATTTCTGCAACAAAATTGCTTTTTATAAAATGTGACACTCCTCCCACCCACATTGCTTCTGTATCTAAAACTGTATGTGCATGTACACAACTTTTGACCCAAGACTGACTTAGAGCTGTCTATATAACAACTCCAAGTCAAGCATGCAGACTCCAAGTCAATATATACTTAATTTTTTTAAACTCCTACACTTATAGGTTAGTGAGATCTTTATTTTTCTTTAAAAAATGGAGATACAATTAAAATATTAATGTCTCTTTTGCTTATCCCTTTTCCAATAATGAAAGCACAATACAGAATCTATCAAAACATTCCAGAGTTGAAAACAGGGTTTAATTTTAAATTCACAGCACACTGATCAGTAATTTGCAAGAATGATTTTGAAACGGAACAGAAATAAAACAACACAAAAAATCACGAAACAGCTAATGTGGATGCAGAATGCATGTTTCCAGAATTGAATGCTATAGCTTTAAGATCAGGTGCCTAGCCGCTTTCCTTACACAAACAAGATCGATTTTGAGCAGACTCCTACTGTTAGCTTTTTGAAGACGGATTCTCACGCTGAAAATAACCCAACATATTCTTGATAACAGCGTTTTTTCCCTCCCCGAAATCCACCAAATCTGAAGAAAAATCCAAGTGACTGTTCTTAGCAGCTGTGTGGCCTGGAGTTCACTAGGGAAGCTGGCTTCCTGCAGTCCCCTATTCATCACCTGCTTCAAAGGCAGCCTAGCTGGCTATAGTTTGCAGGCCAGGTAGGGTGCCATTGTGCACAGTCTGGGAGGATTAGTATCAAAGCTGCGGCAACCAGGCCCTTGGTCTCGGGCTGCCATTCAGTCTAGCAGGGAGAGGCTAAGACTGGCCAAGGTCACAGTATCCAGTGTGGTGTGGACTGGGAAAGGATCCTGAGAATAGAATGCTTTTTATGAAATCATGGCGCAAGCTTGCAGCACAGCAGGCCCCCTTCTGGAACACATCCATCTGTTTATGTTGGTATACCGTAGCTGACAACGAGATAATAGAGCTTTGTTTTTTATAATTGTTTTTAAAACACAACTGTATATACAATAACCCAGATGATTATTGAAGTAAGAGCTTTGATTTTGGAAATCATAAAGAAATCTTGAAAAGATTTAATTGCTGCTTTGTGTATGTGGGTATACTTAAATGAAGAGGAGAGCAGACTGGCTATTAACCATTTATAATCCTTACCACTGCTGATTAGCAACAGCAGGATACTTCGGGAACATATACAGAATGCGACAATGTTTTTTTTTTTTTTAAGCGTTCCTTCATTTGTACCCACAAATTGGTTAAAAATGCACCGGATTTGCTTAGTTGTCTGAATGTTTAAAATTATTTGGAGGAATTCTTTCAAGCCAAAGGTAGTTTTAAAAAGGTGAGGTAATAATGACGTAAAAATAAAATAGCCAACTTGATGAAATTAGGGGGGAAAATTAAGCTGTAGACGAGTTGTCATGACGACAAGGATGTTCTATTGATGAACTGTACTCCTCATTGTCCAATCAGATAGTAGAGCTGAAGCTGGAGCATGAACAGGAGAAGACGCACCTATTCCAGCAGCACAACACAGAGAAGGATTGCCTGGTCCGAGATCACGAACGGGAAATTGAAAAACTGGAAAAACAGCTCCGCGCTGCCATGACGGAGCACGAGAATAAAACTCAAGAATGCAGGAAACGAGATGCCCAGGTAATGATCAATAACATTTGAAAAGCCGTATGCTTATTAAAACATATATATATAAATATAAAATCAGCGTTTCCCGTTTTCCAGCATTGTTGATAATGCACGCTGTTTGATCATTTGCGAAACTGACATATAAATGTGATATTTTTTTTCTTTTTTTCTACCGTCCTCCCCCCACTGCTGAATAAAGCTTTAACTGCAAAAACCACAGGTAGCCAGATTAAAAATCCCATGGTGCGCTATAACTCGACCTCTTATTTATAATCTTGTCTCATTTTCTTTCATGATGGATTTGTTTAAGAAAAAAGGTATCTATTCCCCTCCAACCCCCTCATTCACCCCTCCTTTCCTCCCCTCTGGATAAATCCCTATGAAATATATCTGATTCATTCATATGCTTTTTTCTTTAAATCTCTGCAGGTATCCCACAAATTGCTTGTTTTCAAGATCTGACTATTTTTCAGTAACTTTGTATTCCATGTTTGCATTGTGTTTGATTGCATATGTCAGATAATCAGTGATAGGATGATTTGGGTTTTGGTTTGCTTCCCATCAGGTTTGCTATTTTCCTACACACACATATGCACCCCTCCTATCCTCCATCTCTATGGTCACTGTTGGAAGCCATTTGGCAGAATAACCCCCAGCTGTGGTAGCATTTGACTCTTCAAACTTATGGATGAAATGTGCACTGTCAGCATGAAAAATGATCTTTATTAGTTTCAGTTCAAAAAAATCTTATTGGATGTATGTGGATTTTTTTCTGTTTATTTTGAGAGGATGTGTTTATGGATGAATGTGTGTGGGGTGTATTTTTCTAAGGGCATATGTTATAAAAGGCCTGCAGTGAATACATTTAAAAATACAAGATGGTTTCGAAGTAGAAAACTAACTTAAATGAACAATGGGAAAATAATTTTTACTCTGCTAATCTGCATTAGAGTTACTTATCATTAATTGATTATTTTATTTGAAAATGGGCGGTTTTGTATGGAAGGTATATAACCACCATATGGTCTCCGCGCATCCGCTTCTTTCCCACATTGTAAGATCTTAGCAATAAAGCCTTTGCATTTTAACATGTGTTAGGGTTGCTCATATTTCTTTCTCACCTATACTGAATATTGTAACTATATGAAATTGAAGATTTAATTCTTAATTTCTTTTTTATATTTGAAAGATTCATTATGCATAGAATCAACATCTGAATAAATATAAATGTATCTGATAAATACCAACCTACAGGGGAAAATACGTTATAGAAAAATATTAATTTATTCCATTTGTACCATTATTGTTTTCTATGTAAACCAGGGAGGGACTTTGTGAGCATGCTCAGTAATAGGAAATTTAGAAGACTGCAGCAGAATTAAACATTATCCCTTTTTCCAGTAATTTTGATGATGAATAAAAGACTTAAGTAATTAAAGGAACCAGTCTTTTTGCACTTAACTATATAGCTACTTTTGCGAGTATCCCTTCAAAATCGTATCATTTTCTTAATCACCCCCCTAAACTTGTATTGTCAAGCCGCGGTGTTTTTCTGAATACCAAGAAGTTCTGTACTTACTGTGAATATAGGGTGTGTTCATATCACTAAGTATAAAAATCAGTTTTATAAATAAGCAGGATTATGCATTGTACCTACAAGTAATTCATTAGCATTATGCTGTTGTACGTAGATACGATAGGAATATATCTCTTGAATAGTAAATTCAGAAAGAATCTTGAGATGTCCTATATGTATGTCCTACCTATTTAGATAGATCGTGGCTCACTCGTGGCAAAGGTTGGCTTCATGGCATTTGGAAGTGCATGTTGTTTAAAATAAAAGGCGGATGCTATCATAAGTGATGTGTTGAACAACGGAGAACTGAGATAGTAACGGAAAAAATTAGTGTCTTTTAAAAGTCTTTCTTTTGAATATCTCTACAATATGAGCGCTGCTGTCATGGCAGTATAGTGAAGAGAGAAAACACATTTACCTTGAGTAGGGCAGCTGTTTCTAATCAAAAGCAGAATAATAATGTCTGATAATTGTTCCCACTTTTCAAGATACATTTATTTAGTCTGAATAAATCAAGTGTTAATGTGGTAAATATTAATGCCTTCTATAAAATTCATAGGTATTTAAAATTACATTTGGCTTTGCAGTGAAGATATGTGTGTAACATTACTTCAGTATCTTCAGTGGAATTTTAAAAACTGCTATTTATTGTATTTTCAAGTACTGCAGATTTGCTCCCAAGATGCATGTTTTTGGAGTATTATGGGACTAATGTGAGCAGCATCTTTGTGAAACAATTGTAAACAAAAATGGTTTAGGGATAAGTAAATTACATGGATATGACTTTATCATAAAATCGCAAAATGGAATTTTTGTAGATTGCAGTGTTTTTAGTTACTCTACATTACTATGAAGCTGCTTCCGCACAGCAGAAGAGGCCATTTTGTTTAGCTAAATGAAAAGTGCAACTACTAGATATTTCATAATCATCATCATCATATTCATGCATTAGTAATTTCTTTAATCTTTTGGGAGGATCTAGCTATTTCATAATTGCTGGGTTGGTGTAGAAGTACCAGTTTTCCTTATGTAAAAAGGCATATTTTTTAAATAGACATTTTTATCATCTCACCAATGACTGACACAGTTTGACGGATCTCTGGAAAATAATGTATTATGCAAAGATACTAAAAAGATTTGTTGTATTTTTATTGCATTTCCAAGATATCTAAGTTAAGTCTATTCTTCAGTTACGATGAAAGATACTATACAAAACAAAGGTATGGTTTTAGTTGTGAACCTATATTAACACTTTATGGTCAATAAAAAGTGTTCTCTCGAGAATTAGATAAGATTTTAGGTAGGTCTCCAGATTCTGAGTAAGAAGAAAATTATAACTTTTGGTTCTTGTATTACATATGTAGCATTATATTTGGTAAAGCATCTTGATTTAAAGAGAGAGCATGTTTTATAATGCTGGTCAGTTATTTTCATTTTTATGTGGCATTTATATTCCATTTTAGTACTGAGTAGCTTTTTCAGAAGGGTGGTTGTGTTTGTTCTTGTTTTGTTTTGTTTTTCATCCAAGATCTCAAATGCTTGAGGAGGAGTAAAATGACATATGGGTCAATAAAAGGCAAAAGGCTCAAGGTTTTTGTACCATACTGTAGCCTTGTAGTTGTCTTCTTTAAATTCTATATGTTCTGTGAGCTGTAAGAAAATATTATACTTAAAAAGATATTTCTCTTAAAAATATAGAACTTTGGATTTTAAAATTGTATATATATAAATAAAGTGTGTGTGTGTATTTATATACACACACACACACACACACACACACACATATTAAAATTGTGTTTTTAGTTCAGCATTTCTGTTTTATCTTTGATTTTGTTTACAGATATCCTAATTAAATTTCCCAAAATCTCATTTATGTTTGTTCCTTTAAAAATATACTGAGTGTATATTTTCTTTCATGAGACATTGTATTAATTCCTGGAAGATAATGAAATTTTCAGAAACAAAATCTTCTCTTCCCCCTCAGTAGGAAAGATTGGATAATGAGGTTAGGTATCTGAATATCCAGTCCTAACCAGCTACCAATAGATATACCAACTACACAATCGTCTTTGATCAACTTAATGTCACTCTTTCTCCAGCTTATGACATATATCCTTACCATCTCTAACATTGCAGAGTTTCAGCTGCTGTATGAAGTAATATAATTTTACTGCTTGTTGCTTGGCTATTTGACCTTTTGGGTAGGGAGAAAAGAAACATCACCATTTAACTTCAACAGAATGCTTCCCTTTAGTGTCATATTGTAAAAAGAGGGCTGAGGAAACTGAAGTCTTTTTCCACTTTCTGTTGCCAGATGATAATGTGCAGGTCCACCATTTTCTTCCATTCATAATTAGGTCAAGAATAATTCAAACATTGTAGCACAATTCATCACCATTTGCCAGGGTAATAGTAACTTAAATACAATAAAATAGTATATTACTATTATTAAATACATTAGGTTGCAATAAAATAAATGTAGTCATATTTTAGAGGTCTATTAGTCTCTAATCCATCAGTTGCCAGGAAGAAAGAATAATTGATTATTTCCGTAGGTGTGCAAGTCTAAACACACAATAAATCCAAGATATAAAAGCAGAAATGAGCTATAGTAGGCGGGAAAAATGACTATACTACTTCACCTCTGCATAAATCTCTTTTTTCCACTTCTTCCGACTCCCTATGTTGCTTTCTGCACTTTTCCTAGTGACTGTCCTTACCCTCCTTGTCCCATTTTGCCACTTGCAGATTTATAAGTCCTTTTGTGGTGCCTCTGTACTTATGGGGCTGCCTCTCACTCCTTCTGAGCATGCGCATGTATGCTGTCTGTCTCTCTCTCTCTCTCTCATTTAAAACCACTTCTCCTCCAAAGTCTTCCTACACTAGGCTCCTACCAAATGATCTTTCATTTCTCTGCTACATTGAAAATGTCACTTCAGTTTAGATTGCTGCATAAATAATAACTTAAAATAAAGGAACCATCCCTCCTCCAAAGATATTATCTCTTTTGAAGCATACAGCCTTCCTGAAAAAACATTGTTATATGATGAAGACCTTGTATCAGCTAGAGAAAAGTTAGAAAATTTTCTTTTGTTGCCTGAATTGAAAAAAGTCATACATAGATATATTAGTAGCGGATTCAACTCACTTTCACAGCTTCTTCCCTCAGGGTGACTTTTGGGGAAGTAACCGGCTGCTCCGACACCAACGCACCCGCTATGGGTGAGGTGTTCTCTTCAGGGCACTGCCCTCCGGCACTAACCACTCTGATCTTGGTCTGCGTCCCCTTCCAAGGGAGGAGTCATTGAGGTGTTTCCCCTCCTCCTCCAGGGTCTTCCCTACTCCCTATGACCCCCAGTTCTTCTCCCACTCTGCCTGCCTGGTTGCCTCCTGTAACCCTGCCTTGTGGACTTATGCCCTGGTGCTTCCCTGGCTC